TAAGAAAAAGCCAGGTGCACCATTTTTCGACTTGAACTACATTTTTATAACAGCTAATATCCTCATGAAAAGAATAAAAAAAAAATCCGTCCACAAATAATAGAGTTATGACGTTGACCTTAATGGGGACATGCCATATCTGCTGCAGCATAATCTTCCGATTACATCTCTTTCTGACGAAAGCAATAACTTTGTCAATTCCACGCTCTCCTCTTCGTTTGCAAACACAATTATTTCTCTATTCTCAGCAAAACACGTCTCAAAACGTTACATAGATTGCTTAGTAAGAACAATATTTCCGTTGCTGCATCTTGATAATCTTCAATTTTAGTTCATAAAGACAAACGTTAGCGAACATTAACATTAACATGGAACATTAATATTGCAGTTATCATCGTTGCGACGGTCATTGGTAACCTCCTCCTTATTGTGGTCATCCTGAAGAACAAAGAATTGAAGAAAGCCATCAACATCCCCCTGGCTAGTCTTAGCAGTTCTGACATCATCTTCGCCATCTTGCTTTGCTTTTGGGCCCAGAATCACGTGTACCCCGAATGGGAGACTCCAGCAGCACTGTGCTGGCTTATTGGGTACCTTACTCCTGTGATATGGGCCGTGGCATCATGGCACATGCTGTGTATCGTCCTTACGTCTTACTTCAAGATCTGTACCAACAGTACACGTCTGAAGTCCACACGTACGGTCGGTATCATGCTCTTCTTCACATGGTTGATTCCCGCTGTTACTATCTTGCCTCTTGTGATCATTGAAGAAGTGAAGTTAGACCCGAAGCTGAAACAGTGCGGAGTGTCAATGTCGGAAAAACTCTGGGCAAAATTGCTTGTGATCTTGATAAACTTCTTCATCCCGTTCATTGGGGCCTTCGTCTTTTACGGTCTCATCGAAAACCATGTGAGAAAGAGCAAGGAACGTGTTGAAGCTAACAAAATGGCCGGCCTCAAACCAAACCGTTTGGCAGTGCAATACTCTCGTGGACAGAAGGATGATGCTTCTCCTTCCACGAGCAATGTAACAATCACAACGCCTCCACAAAACCCGGAGGATAAAAATGTGCGAGATGAAGAAACAGACAATGACGGTGTAGGATCGGAGATGTACAAAAACTCCTCAGACACATCAAGTGATGAGGAACAAAATGTCACAAAGTCAACTGGGGTCCATATCACGTCCCCACCATGTGACTGTGTCCCTGACTATGCTGACACCACCCCTGACACCGCCCCTGACTGTGCTGACACCACCCCTGACACCGCCCCTGACGTGTGCTGACACCACCCTGACACCGCCCTGACTGTGCTGACACCACCCCTGACACCGCCCCTGACTGTGCTGACACCACCCCTGACACCGCCCCTGACTGTGCTGACACCACCCCTGACACCGCCCCTGACTGTGTAGTAGGGGAGGGCGAGAAAAAGCCCACACCAAACGTTAAGAAAGGCAACGGCTGTGTTGTGTTGGCTGACGACAGAATCTTAACATTAGATGATGACGAACCACAAAACAGTGACCTCGCCATGCCAGATAAACCCAAAGGCAGTTTCCAGGCTACTTCCTCACCAGGCACAAGTAAACAACGGCGCCATGTTGGTCAGGGCCAGAATGCACATGAAAGCCAAAAAAACAATGACAACACTGAGCCGAAATGTACGATCATAATTGTGCCTGCAGAGCTAGATCAGGCAGATATAGATGAACAAAAGCAAGCTGTCCCAGGCAACAGATCACAAAACCGTATCAAGAAGAGAAAGTCTGCCGACAGAATGCTAGCCAATATGAGGATAATATTACTTCTCGTCTTCACCCTCTGCTGTCTGCCCATTTCCGTGATGGTGTGTTTCTACAGTTACGTCCCAACAGAAGCCTTTGCTGTCGGGCAGGTCCTGGCTTCACTTATTGGCGTCCTAAACCCGATCATTTACGGCGCGATGAACACAAATATCCGCCGAGCGTACAAACGTGTCCTGGACAGCATGCTCGACAACATAACCTGAGCTTCTGTTTGCCTGATTGGAAGGAAAAGTTCGTATTCTAGTTTTGCGGATCGAAGTCACAAAATGATTATGAGCAGACGGCATGAACATAAATGATGGTAAAAAGAAAAACGCATAGAGTTTGCATTTGTTTTCGAGTTTGAATTTCTTGCACTTATGTATGGTATGTTTTGTCATTAATTGAAGGAAAAAAAATCAAACTATATCTATATATAAACAGGATAAAAAGTTCCATTTCCATCCAAAAACACCATCAAGACACTTTTTAACGTGAACCTAATTTTTGGAGGGCTTTCATTGGCATTCTTGTGTTCCACTACATACATGTATGTACAACATGGCGCAAAACCGTCAACGTTAGATATTTCAAGAGCAATTAAAACATTGCATTGGTCAGATCCGGAGAGGAAATTAAAAGAATAATAAGTTGGTCCGGTTCTATTGAGTTCATAGCTATAACATATTAGAGAACGTGACAAGCTTAAGTTCCATCTCAGTACCAAAACACCACTTACTTTTTTAGGTACTTTTGTTTGAACTTTAAAGTAAAATCAGGACCAAATTTAAAAATGCAGTACAGAAATCTCAGGTTTTCAACACATCCGTACCTCACACTAGCCAACAGCCAATGTGATATGATATATTTATATTGATATCTAAAGAAAATACGAATATATACTATAATTCCAAGAAGGATTACAGGACTAAAATAGAATCCTAAGGCTATAAAATCCTACACCGGTCATTGCCTTTAAAATGCCAAATGATCCAAAGAAAAGGATCGACGTGGCCTTACCTTTTGTAATTGATACCTCGTCGAAAAAGGTATATTGGTACTTTCAGTGTCATTTATTTTTAAAGTACCCTACCGAAATAGAGCTAATTTGTACAGAAATGTCAGGTTTTCTACTCAACCGTACGCACAGACTTCAGACTTACAGCCTGTGTATATCACTAACCAATGTGATATGGTAGATTCAAATTGAAATGTAATACGTACGTATGAAATACGTACATATACTCATAAAAGGATCTAAACTTATATATACTAACCATGGACTTTGACTTGTTCCAATCCTACACCGGTCATTGCCTTTAAAATGCCAAAAGTCCAAAGAAAAGGATTGACGTGGCCCCTTTGGTAATGCTCTCATTGATCCCTCGTCGAAAAATATATATTGGTACTTTCAGTGCCATTTTTTTTAAATGAACGAACACGACTTCATTGACTTTAAATCTATCGGTAGGATTTCAAACAATAAGAATCTACTAGATATTGAAGCCAACAAGTGCATCATTTGTATATGACGAACATAGAAGTGTATTTTAATCATTACCTGGGACTGAACACTGAATATTAATTTAATGTTAATAATTTTGAATTCGAAATCCTACCAGATGTATCTTAAAAAAATATTTGTGTCGCTTTGTATTTATTCAAGAAATGCTGTTATTTACAACGTACGTAGAGCTACAGTTTTGTGTAACCGATTCGAAACCTTACTGCTATATTTACGGATTTTAAAATCATACCAGATGTAATGTTTTTGTTCAAGTAATGCCGTTAATTAAAAACTTGGATATTAATTCAATGTTAAGGATTATAAGACCTGATATCACATGTAACTTACATCATATCACTACTTGTGTTTTACTTGTTTAACTATATATTGTGTGAAAGGTTTAACAATAGGAGTGAGGAGTTTTAAAGTTGTCTAATTTTCTTGTATGGCTTTCAAAGAATAAGGGTCTAGATATTGAAGCCAACCAGGCATGATTTGTATGATGATATCAGATGTGCTTTTAACTATTATATGGAATGGAACACTTTGAAATTAATTTGATGTTATAAGGATTTTAACACCATACCACACGTAATGTATAGACTATTTGTGTTGTTTTTGCGAGTTTTGGGGTACGTATTCCAGTAATATTGTTATAAGTATAACTTAGTTTGTGCAAAAGATTTCACTGTGGTAGTGAGGAATTTTACTTGAACATACTTGTGGATTAGATCCGAGAAACAACATTTTCAATGTAACTTACATGTACATAAGCCGGCGTCGCACTGTTAATTAATAATAAGAACATTCGGTTGCGAATTCGCGATCATAACGCGATTTTTTTTTAATGGGGTCTTTGAGCCGGTAGGGTATGGATAGCCAGAAAATTCCTCGAATTTCAAATTCGCCAGAGTCTTATAAAAATCGCCTGAAAATCTTATTATTGATCTGTTATGTTGGACGGGCCTCAGTGTGATCGGCGAACATCAAGCGATCCCTAAAAATCGCACTGTGAACGAGCTCAAGACCATTTGATACTGTCCTTTGCGACCACCGAAAAATATGCTTGGAGACTAACAGACGAAAATATCCTTTGAGAGCTAACAGAAAGCTTTTTTCTACTGCGTTACGCCGGCTTTATGAAGATGTGTTTTCCTTTGTTGTACATGTATTAAGTTAAACACAGTTTGTAAATTTGCCACCGGAGTTGAGTATCGTTCATTTTGCTGATCATTCTTGTGAATTTGTGATAATGCTCTCTTGTAATACAAGATGACAAAGATGAGTGTATATGGAAAGATTTGTTGTAACATTGTAACGTCACCGTGTGACGGTGATGATGACAACGTTGGCACTACTGTAAAACTCACCAGTGGATGAGTGCATGGTTCAAAAGCGACACAAACTGGATTTGGTTGGTACTGCAGAGTAACTTGTATGCCAAACATTTAGGTATGTAATGGTGATCATGAGGGATGCATTGTTGTTATACGGCTATAACGTGAACTCCAGTGAACATGATTCTGTTGATACTTTGTGGAAAGTTGTGCGCACAATAAAAAAATTGCACGGAAAAAGTAAACAGTCTGTTTTCTGTTAATTTCTACTTGATTTCTTGTCAACCCTGATCAAATCTAGATGCAGAATAACAGTCTCGGGATATGTTTTGACGACATAATTAAGCGATACCTAAGTTGTTTCTATACTAAACACTTCTGTAATAAACCCTTCACTATAATGAAAGTTACAGTTTCCACAGTTCACACAGCACAGTCTATTCTAGAAGACACTATAAAATTGGTCTAGTGTATGTAATGTATGCAATACATTGATACAGTGCAAAACTGCTGTCTGAAGTATATAGATATGACCAAAATAATTATGAAAGCAAAGACATTACAGGCCTGTAGTACTGAAAAGTAATCTAACATGATTATTATGGGTTCACCACACCACGAAGTGGTGTGGTGAAACCATATTGCTTTTTCTGATGTTTCTTCTCCTTCTCCTCCTCCTTCTCCTCCTCCTGCCATATCTTTAAATGGATTCAGCTTCTTCATTTTAGGGCCTAAGGTCCTGAAATTTGGTATGGAGGTACAGTGGGCAAATACCCCTAGGCGTTTTTTAAATTATTGTGATACAGGCTTTTAGAATGGTTTTATTTGAGTTTTTTGGCTGTGTAATAGCTAATGTATTACTGTGTAAGTGTGCAGTGTTTACCACATTTGGACATGAGTCATCACAATGGCATGCAAGGCATCAACCAATAGGCATGCAGCTTTCCTCTATTCTCCTTGCTGATTGGCTGTTGGGATTTAACTGGCTTAACTTCATTTACACCTGCACAGAGCCATGCCATACTGACAGTATGTCTGTATTCAAGTGTTTTGGTAGGTATTTTAAGCTTTCCTGCTCCAGCATTGGAATGCGGGCTATGAACGCTTCTTTTTATCTTGAAAATCAACAGTTTGCATTATGCAATCCTAACCAATAATGTAGGGAATAGCTATCCAACTGTTGTAGTCTTAGTTGTATGTTACTTCATACTATAGTTATATCAATGTAAAGCATTGTTTTCCCTTGTGTTTCTCATTCTTTCCCTGCCATGTGGTAAAATGTGGTGAACCCATCGCTATATTTGCTCCAAAGCAAATATTGGCCTTTCTAGTAATATCTGCTTTTACAACATAAAAGTACACATACTTGTTATCTATACGTTAACAAAATTTCACGTTCTGAGGAAAATGGACATGTTCCCAGAACTTAACCTTCATGGTAGTGGGAGAGGGGGCAGAACATAAATGATTTCATAATCATGGTACTGATAAATTTATGGTACAGAAGTGACTGTGAAAACTGTGAACAAAAGTAGAAAAAAAATAACAGTAGGTCCCCTTAGCTCAACTTTGTTGAAAAAATACTTCTAGTTCGTCTTGCCTTCTTCACTCTTTGTCTCTCACACCTCCTTCCTTGCCTCTCCATCCCCTTTTCTGTGGCCCCTCCCCCTTCCCTTTGTCTTCCTTGTCCTCCTCATTCTGCCTTATTCTAGTTCTTCTTGTCTTCTTCTTCACTCTTTGTGTCTCCCACATCTTGCCCCCCTCCCCCTCCATCCCCTTTTCTGTGCGCTCCTTTCCCTTATTTTGCCCTCCCCATCCTGCTCATTCTGCCTTATTCTAGTTCTTCTTGTCTTCTTCTTCACTCTTTTTGTCTGCCACATCCCCTTCCTTGCCCCCCTCCCCCTCCATCACCTTTTCTGTGGGCTCCTCCCCCTTCCTTTTGTCCTCCCCATCCTCATCTTCCTCCCCCTCACTGTCACTGTCCCTGCCTGGGTGTTCAGGCATCTTCACATGTTCCCGCTCCTCTTCCATCTTCTCCTCTTTCTCCTCCTCCTCCTCCTCCTTCTCCTTTGGTGGCTGTGATGATGGCCTGGGCTTTGCAGGAGGTCTCAGCTCTCGGAACCTTCGCTGCATCCTCTGCTCAGCCTAGGATGGCATATGGACATCAGTTCATCAGTTTAAAGAAGAGTATTAAAAAAAAAGATTCGAGGAAAAACACAAAATGACACAAAGTGTAACATAAAACTCTTACCTACAATATATGTATATATGACAATAAAAAATATAGAAATGTTGCCTTGAAGATACTGTCACATCACGACTGTCACATCATGAAATAGTGAATATCAAAAGTTCTTTCCTCACAACCACTTGTTTACAAGCGCCAATGTTGTGGTGACCGTCTGTCAGCTTCATCAGGGCTATAATGACTGGTTCACAGTGCACTAAAGCTAGGTGTTGCAGTGTACAGTGCACACGTACATGCTTCAATGAAATTATTTACAGATTATCAGATACTACATCACAGATTATCCAGAAATATTGATTGATGCGCTACCATAAAATAAGACAAAAATGACCACGGAAAACTTAAATTGATCAATAGAACATTGATGTCTTCCGAATGGTATGGCCACATCAGTTGTACATGTAGGTCATTGTATGAGATTGACAAGGATCCATTGTCCTCACCACATGTGGTGTCGTGTGGCGTAAACTGTAGAGTGTTCAGAACTTAGAGGACCCTGGTTCGAATCTTGCAGTGTCACCCATCTTGTGCCCTTGAGAAAGGCTCTATTTACAACTTTACACACTTCACTCAGGTGTAAATGAGTACATTTGTACCTCGCTTCAGTTAGGGACGTCCTGTCGAATAGGAGTTAAATGGAGGTCCTGTGTTTGGGGAGAGCCACACCCCACGCACGTTAAAGAACCCACCACATCTTTTGAAAAAGAGTAGGGGCATACCTAACTATCTAGTGATTCACTACGGACTCCTGGAAGAATGGAGAGAAATTCACAATAATGGAGATTCTATGAAACAAACAAACAAACAAACAAACAAACCCTCATGGCCTCCTGCATGTGGTGCACCTGCCTGTTGTACATGTCGTACACAAACTGTGCCATGTGGGGCATGTCCTGGATTACAACTGGGGCACCATAGGGCGGATCTCCATTCTGAAAAATAGTTTTTAAGAAAGATAACATTTTCAAAGCAAAATGCATAATGAGTACAATGTACCTTCACATGGTGTAGCCTAGCAAACTACTATAAGGTGAAACTAATCCTTGCAATGTAACCCAACACCACAGGGTGTTTGCTTCAGCACCCGGTTACCATGGTGACAGCCATCTGGTCCAGGTCATTGACCTTGTGTATTTGGAATGGAAAAAGAGACAGAGCAAAAACAATATGTACAGTATTCCTTCTACGAAGGTAAACTTATAGAAGTCGTATACAACGTAACTTCCAGTATGTACATTGTAGGTACGGTTTGTGATCTGGCTATCAAAATACATTAACGTTTCTGACAAACAGCCCTACCCATTGTAAAATTTTGTTTAATATTATTCCTTTCAACTCATCTGTCCATCCCGCCAAACACACAAACATGAAACCATCAATGGTGAAAACAATACTTCCGATATAACATTCAAGTTGAAATACTAAGTACCCATAAGGCAACACCAAGTAAATTTTATGGATGACGTCCAGGCGCGCATTGATTTTGGCTTGTTCCTAGAAAAAAAAACGAGAAATTCCGCTTCCTGTAACTATGACCAAAGAGTCACGACAGTGCCGCAAATCGTTAGATTGATGTAAAACCCTTAACGCGAAATGGGTAAAGAGCACATGCTTTGTTTCTGCAGGCCTGCAAAAATGTGAAAGAAACAGGACAGGACGACAACTGCTGTTCCACCTGATTTATTGCTGTTTTGATGATGAATAAAAGACTTCTTGCTTGTTAATCTGTGTCACCTCATTCAATTTGTGTCCTAACATTTGTCGTCTCTTAGTATATTTCTAATCTAGGCATCTTGTTTTTAAGGGCCCTTCTTGTTTTTTTTTTCGCCCTCTCGCATTAGATATAGGGTCTCCAAAGGACGTCATCCATAAAATTTACTTGGTGTGGCCTAATCAAGTTATACAAGAGTGCAACATCAACTCATTCTCAACAAGACTCATCTAAAAAAAGCAAATAATACACAACAGACCAGTGTACTCACCTTGCGCAAGGTAGGGTATGTTTCGTGTGGGGTCAAATGCAGCTTCAGTGGCCTTTCCATCAACTGTGACACAGAGAGAAATCATTTTTAACTTCTTCAAATGCCTTTGAAAAATCTCTGCAGGAAAGCCTTACAGTTTGTTATTTCGCTGAGTGGTACAATTTCTCACATGGCATATCAATTTAGTTCCCTTTGTGTTTTATCAACTAATTAGTGTTAGGACTTCAATGTGAACAGCATTATG